CTATAATATATATATATATATATATATATATTTGAAATCTTTATTCTAAAACTTTCTTACTACGAAATTGAAATCATAAATGCCGATTTGAGAATACTAAAAATTTAACATGTGAAATCAACTTATATTCATCTGATCTTTCAAGCGGTCTAACAAAATCTCAACCATTGCATTCAATACGTTTTTATGTCACTATAGTGTGAATAATCATTGTCATCGCAGGGTGGGTTGCCGTCATCAATCCGAAACCTCATTAAAAAGAACGAGCAGCTTTACGACCCCCATTAAAATACCCGCAGTATTAGTATGGACCATTTGTTACTCCATGGATGTATGAATCCCCTGACTGGTACGTCAAAAAAAAAAAAAAAAAAAAAAAAAAAAAAAAAAAAAAAAAAAAACCAATTTTGGTTTTATATGTGTTGCCTTGAGTCACCCCCCTTCTAGAAGTAGTTGACCAAAAATACTAAAATAGTCTCGTCTTCTACACACGTATACACATATTTTATTTCTTACTAACAAGTGTTCGACACGAAATATGCCCACTTAAACACGGTAAAGATAAAAACGACAATCTATTACCATCACTTGCTATTTAAAATTGGGTGTAAAAGACTAACAAGAATAGAGAAAAAGACAAGTCTTTGAGCTTTATGGGGGTCAATTATATGTAACGCCTCCTGGGGTTGGAAACTCCCTTTTTCTTCCAACTTTTTCTCTTCCTTTTTCTTTTGGCAAAATTTAAAAATCTGCTTTTTTTTTTTTCCTAAGCTATATACATATGGGTGATTAGTTATTAATTCGAAAAAGGGAATAAGGCAAAAAAAAAAAAAAAAAAAAATTAGAAGTCGATGATGGGTTCTCCAATGGTCAAGTTTCTCTCTACTGTCCATGGCAAGTTAAAGAGCTTGGCCATGATGAATTTGAATATCTTGTTGACGTTTATGTTGTGAGTGGCACTTGAGAAGAAAAGGGTTGCTTTCATTGCCCTTGCATAACCCCTTGCCTGCAATATTATTACATAACATTTATATATACAATTAATATTTATACACTATTCATATAACCATAGTCACCCAACGAACTCAGTGCTTGTTTTGTATTACTTTTACTTTATATCTTTACTTGCTGAAAGAAGAAAAATAAAAATGGTTGCGTACATAATCTAGCAGAAATTTCATACGTGACTTCACACAAAACGAGTTCAAAAACCCCAACGAAAAGGGGAAAAATTATGTATTATACCACTAAAATCCAATAGCTTTACAATGATGTTATCTTTGTAGATTTTTAAAAAGTATTTTGGTAGAAATATCAAAAACATTTTACTAAAATACTCTTGGAATATGTCTGGTGATCTTTGTCGAGAAGAAGAAATAATCGACATACTATCTTAAATTCTTTTGGCAAACTGAGAGACATAAATTTCAGTTTATATCATTAGATGGTATAAACACAAAAACGATGGGCGCGAACTCATTCTAAAATGATTTTATTTTTTGTATAAAAATGAAAATGAAAACGTTTTTAATCTCAGACAGAAATGATTTTTGAAAATGCTTTTAGTAGTTTTATTAAGAGATTATGCTCGAGAAATGAGAAAACGAAAATAAAAAACGATTAAAAATTATTTTTTATTTTTTTCTCATTTTACACTAAACTAAAAAATAAAATCATTTTAGAACGAGTTCCAAACGCGCCTATAAATTTCAGTTTATATCATTAGGTGGTATAAACACAAAAACGATGTCTTTTAAGTGGCACTTCTGTAACTTTCTAAGAGTAGAAGCAGAAGCAAAAATAGTTTTTGGTCTTAGCCCCTTAAGACATAAAGAGTAATAAAGTCCTTGCATACACAATCTTGTGTTATACTTTATTCAACATGTGGCCCTCTCATGCGTATCTTTTACGCGGAGAGAGAATCGGTGGGGTTGGCAAATTTCGGTAATGGATAACAGAAGGTGTTTGTTTTGGCAAATCTAGTTTTGTTTTTTTGAGTGAAAAATTAAAAAAAAAAAAAACAATTTGAGTTATAATTTTATTCGAATTCATATTCTTTTAAATTTAAACTCAATTTTAAACTCGAGTTTAAGTTTTCCCTTCAACTCGAGTTCAGAAACTCAAACTCAAGTTAATGAACAATATTTTTTCTATTCTTAAAAATGCTATAACTTTTTCGTTTTAATTCTGATTGAAATGATTTTTTTTTTCTATGCGTTGACAACGAAAAGACGAATAAAACTAAACCCACATACCCTATTAAAATTTTTCATCAGCATTGAGTTTTTATTAAAATATTATCTAAATACAAATTCAAGTTTTGACTTACTCAAACATAAACTCAAAAAGATTCTTATCTCAAACCATAACTCAAATGTACACAACCAAACGCAAACTCAAGTTACAACTTCAACTTAAGTTATAACTCAAATTCGATTCAAACTTAACTCAAGAATACTTGCAAAAGAACAAGCCCCTAAAGTGTCAAGAATTGACAAAAAGCAAGACGACCACCCCTCAAAACATTCTTCACGTTCACATGCTCGTTTTTAGGAAACGTCACTCTTCGAAAATTAACTATTTATGACATAATATAATAATAGTATACTACTACTACCGCAATAACAATAACAATTATAATAAATCAATTTTTGAGGTGTTTTATATTTGTGGCAATGAAATTATTTAAGAATTTGGACTTCCAACTTAAAGTTAGACTATTAAGTACGGCGAACAAATATCTTTATAAAATGACGTTTAATACTATATTTATATTTATATGATGTGGGGTTCAGGTTTATTTTAGTGGTTACAATATTGATATTGGTTAGCAAGGGTTTTGCACTATTTTGCTTGTTTTTTTAGGGATATCAAAGAAAAAACAATAGAGGATTGATTCATTGATTTGACTTTGTGCAAATGTAAATTTTGCACCAATTAATATTTTGCAGGAATTTTTTTTTTTTTTTTTTTTTTTACCTGAGTCACAATTGTCCACTGCAGATCTGGAGGAAGTCTAACGAAATCATCAAATTTTGTTCCTATTAGTATTGGAATTGCTGTCTGCAAAAGATCAAAAGGGAAAAAAAAAAAAAAAATTAAAAAAAAAACTTTAGACAAAACGCTCTAGCTAGGGAGTATTTGTGATAATTAAACAATGTCCCACAAGCACTCATTCTACGGGCAAAGTATCAAATTCTGTGCTAAATCTTTATGTCAAAACACCTTTTATATTTAAGTTTCATCACCAACATGAAAGTGAATTTGTCAATGCCCTTAAATCCATGATTTTCACTTTCTTTTCTTTTTCTTTTTCTTTTTAACGCATCATGAATTATTATGGAACTATTGTAAGCCTTGTGCAATTGGGAGATCATTTTCTATGAATAAATGGCATTTATATCAATTTACACTAAGTAACTGCTTATTTCACCATCCAAAAAAGCAAGTTAATTTATAAGAAAAAAATAATTGATATTTCATTGCTAATAATTTGATGAAATAAGAACCACATGATAATTACTTTACTAAAAGAGCAACTAATGATAATTATAAAAGAGAAGTAGGCAACCATATTGTTGAGTGAGTACCTGATTCCACTTTCTTGCTTGATTGTACCATCCAATAACACTGAGAAAAAAAAAAAACCAACAACAAAGTTAATTTCTTGATTATAATCATAGTTTGTGTATAGATATATATATATATATGTGTGTGTGTGTACATTTATACATGTATGTATAATAATATTATACCTGTTTAGCGTACACCGACTAGTAAGATCAAACATGAACAAAATTGCCACTGCATCTTTGCAAGCAATTGGAACATGAGCCTGGGATGTTAGGTCACCTAGAAAAAAAAAAAAAAAAAAAAAAAAAAAAAAAAAAAACTAAGTTAATTCAACAACATCAGAAAAGAAACTAAAAAACCCATGATGAATATGAGCCCAAAACACATATACATATATATATATATATATATATGTGTGTGTGTGTGTGTATTTACAAATGTATATATACATACAAGTTCATACCTCCTACATCCCATATGCTAAAAGAAATCCTGGCTCCTTGAACAAGTAAAGTTTTATCCATTAAATTTAGTCCTGACATCTCCAAACAATTCTTTTCCTGCTCATCCCCTACATACTTGATCTTGAAAATTAAAAGAAAAAAAAATCAGAAAATTTTTTTTTATCTATTTTGAGCTTAAAAAAGAATTATTTAATAAGTACTCACAACAAAGCTAGTTTTCCCAATCTGGCAATCGCCCAACAAGCTGATCTTCAAGGTCACAGAATCCGGATCCGCGTCACACCCGCCGCCGCCGCCGCCGCCCGAGATGGTAGGCTCATCGGAAGAAGGCGAGCCGCCATCCTCCGACGAGAGCGAGGGGCCCGCCCCGCGGAAGGGCAACCTCCGGTACCGGCTTGGCCTGCCAATAGAGCAAACCACAATTCTGTCCCATATGAACTTGAAAAACTGCTTTATGATTGATACACGCTCTATTATGCTCCACCTTATATTGACATGAACATTAATCTTCCTGCAAATCTGCGTCATGATCTTCTTCTCCTCCTCCTCCTCCTTTGGCTTCTTCATCCATGAAATTGAAAAGTCTTTTCTTCTTGCTTTAAGAAGACATAAATTTTTTAGCCTTTTTTTTTTTTTTTTTTTCTTTTCTGAGATGTTTATGAAACTTTCCTTTTTTTTTTTAACTAACCCAATGCTTGGGAGGTGAAGTGTGTTATGTGAGAGGACAGTTGACCGGTATTTGTCATTTTTTGAGTTCCTATAAAGTCCATAAAGCCGGCTTCTTGGATACTTCGACGGATGGGGGTATTTTGGTAATTTCAAATATTTGAGGTTTGCCCAATGAGGCGAGAGAAGGGTAGTTTGGTAAAATGACGTGTTGGGAGGTTATAAAACAAGTGCAAGGGGATAAGAAGTTTGTCCACGTACACAGAGCACAAGAATCTTTTGAGGTTTTTTAAGATAAGAAAATGCTTGGAAGGAGACTTAGAGTGCGTTTGGTTTAAGGATTTGTGTCATGGTTTGAATCATGATTTATGGCTTGTTACAGTATTTTTTCTCACAAAAAATACACGTAAATTGAGAATAATTCTGAATCGTGATTCTAAATTCATCAACTAAACGTCCTTTTATTAAAATGGGAAAGTAAGTATTGGGTGTGGCGCTGCTTTGGGGATAACGGCGTGGGACATTTTTGGCTTGCTTTGGGTTGCATGCCCTAGAAATTGCTTTTTTTTTTCTTTTTTTTTTTTAAATTCTATAATAGGTACACCCCATTATAAGTTTCTCCAAAAATTATTGATCGCGATGTTAGAATATAAATCAGACTGCGCGTGTCGTCTCGAGCTAGATACAGTGAGAAGATTTTTTAAAACAATATCAAGACATTGTGCGTTTGGTTCAAGGATTCGTGTCATAGTTCGAATCATGATTCGTGACTCGCTACAGTATTTTTTCTCACAAAAAATACACGTAAATCGAAAATAATTCTGAATCCATCAACTAAATGTATTCTAATTTTATTGTTACCGTTCGATTTAAATCGTATTGTTTGGGTCAGAATGTCTCTCTGTTCTCTTTCTCAAAAGTTGAAAGGGGTATTTTCAATGCGTGTTTGATGGGTTGTTTTCATTGATTTGTTGTTTGAGAAAGTTGTTTGGAAAATAAAGACAAAGGAAAACAGCCTCGTTTTCCATTTGTCCAAGGAGAAGATGCCATTAGTTATCAAATGTGGCTTGAAAGTGAAGAAATTTTGCAAATCACAAACTATTCATTTCCAGGAAAAGTTTTGGGATTAGATTGTGTTTTTTTTTTTTTTTTTGTTTAATCATAAGAGCATCGATTAGCATCGAACACTGAATCATAGTTATCACATATTTTGATCTCAACAAAAGAGATACGTGAAATAATTTGAACCGTTGGATTAAAAAACTAGAAAGTGTGCTCTAAGAAAATCAAATGTTCTCCACATATTAAAAAGTTAATTGATGGCCTCATTCATGATATATACAATTAGAAACTTTGTCCTTTACATACGTAGATCTAGATCAAAGAATCTCTGGCTTTTAGAATGAATGAAGGAAAAAGCTTCTTGGGACAACATAGAATGACCACATAACCCCCACAAGCCTCCCAACTATTTTTCCTTTAGCTTTTTTTTTTTTTTTTTTTTGGTTCATTGTATTTTTCTATTGCTTTTGGAAAAGTGTATAGCACAATGAAAAAGGTGGTAACTTTTGGTTATTCATTGATTGCCATTGAAACTTCCTCTTTACTCATCCCCCATACTAGTTTTTATCTATTTTTAAGTACTTTGGGACACTATTAAGTACATAATGGGCATCCATGACCAAGGTCTAGTGCTTTGGCCACTTGCAATTAAAAGGGGTTTTACTTCCTTTGACAATTTGAGAGGTTTTACTATGAAATCAAATAGTTTCTTTGATTCCCAAAAATATACCCTCTTATAAACATTAGAAAATGAACAAAGTAGAACAAAGTCACTATATGCCATGCAGCTTCCTAGTTAGTTCTTTAGTTGACAAAAAAAGAAGAGAATAACTATTTTTCTTGTTTTGATAAAAGGAAAAAAGTGTATAAATATTTTGAAGTTGAACAATTTGTGTTAGAAAGTTTCCATTGTTTGAGAAAATAGAATTTGAACTCCAACTAAACCAACGATTTTTTATTTTTATTTTTTATTTTTATTTTTTGGAAAGGAACCTTGCATTACATAAAACAACGGGGGAGTTTGTTTTTTTTTTTTTCCTTCAGTTTTTGGCCTTTTTTTTCTTCCTTATTCGGTGGGAAGTTGGACAATTTCTATTTGTATAAAATGTATTATTTAAGCATAAAGTAAAAAATTAATGGGTAGTCATTTGGTGGGGAAGTCCCTTATAGGGAATGGACACCTATGACCAAAACAACCTAACTAAATATCATATATTCTAGAACTACCTAACTATATTACATGTCCCTAGTTTTTATTTTTCGGCCTTTGTGGGTCATGGAATTGGGTAAGAATATGCAAACGGAACTACTAGCACACTACTATCCCCCATTAAATTAGAGTAATATACTTCTAATCTCATCAAGTCAACATATAATTATCATATCTTTTAGAAGTTTCTTTTCTAGGTTTTGAAAAATGAACTACTGAAAAATCCAGCATTGTTCTTTTCACAACTCAAGTTCTATTACTACAGTGTTTTCTCTCATAAAAATTCAAATTTAATATTTTTTACTACGGTATTTTTCTCTCATAAATACAACTCAAGTTTTTAACTTGAGTTATGAAACAAACATACTTAGTTTTAATCGTCAAATATGTATTAAAAACTGTTTGTTTTACAGATTTAACGATTAAAAACTGACCCTACTAAACTCCCTTATCTTTCTGCATTTTGGTACTTTATAAAAAATTTGTCCTAACAATTAAATATATACGAGTATGAGATGTAACATGATAAAATTATTTATTCTAAGCAACAATAATTTCAAATAGATGTAATATGAATATACACAATGTCTTTTTTTTCTCATTGTTATACTTTTACATATAAGTGTTATATATATATATATATATTGTATCAAATTTTACTTTTACATATTACAATTACATTTAGATTGTCTTTCACCAAATTTTTAAGCATATATTGTAGTTACCAAATAACGAGTAGTGCATGTTTCTATACATTGAATATGGTTAAAATCTCATAAAGTAATACACACATACATACATATATATATATATGGACATACTTTTACACAAATTTTACAGTTTAAAATAAAACCCCACTAGTTTTTCTTATTTCACCATAAAATTTTCATAATTACAAATCAATATCATCACGAAATCACAATTCACCGGGCCAATTGTTGGAGACCTATAAGAGCTAGCCTAGTGGCTACACACTGCCCACCAGACGTGCATGTTTGAAACACAAGTAATAACAAAATGTAATATTCTTTAGGAATTGATTCCAAGTTTTTGCTAAGGCTAAAACCTCACCTAAGCATGATTAGGCCCTACTAGAAAGGTTTAGAATAAATGAAAGCGAAAACTAATATGATTACGTATATTCGTTTTTCAGCGCCAGACATTGATTCTAAACACACGTGTTGACGCATCAAAAGAGAATATAAAGCTCACGACTTCAATTATGACACTAACAATGCAGTGTTGTAGAGTTATGGGGTGGGGCCCTATGAAAGTTGTTTAAACCCCGTTTATTTTATCGATTTGAGTTTAAAATTTAAGTTTTATTACAGTAAAAAAATTTTAGAAACAGTCATATTTAATTTTTTTACTATAATAAAAAGTTTTCACATAATGTCACATCTCAACTCGAATATCAGCGAACTAAACAGCTTGTTATTTTCAGGCAAAACTTACAATAGGAACTGCATTTTTGTCAATTAACGATGTGATTTATAATTAAATTTTTGTGTCACACGTTTTAAGTTTTTAATGTGAATATCGTGAATCAGTATAGAAAAATAAATTTCTGTAAGAGGTTGCCTTCTTTTTAACTGGGTGGTTTACGGTTTATTTTGGTTTTAATGCCGTTGGGTGAACGTTATGTATATAATTTATGAGCAACCCCACACTAAGGATAAATGCATATCTTTTTGTTGCAGAAGGGTTCAAGATTGAATAAATACGGAAGAAGAACGATAGAGAGAACAAACAACGCTAAAACTTAATTGGTCCTTTCATAAATTGGTGACCTTTGTGGTTTACGTTTAAAGACATATGAAAATAACTAATTGGACATTTGGATTATGAAAGTGACTAGGGCCTACCTCTAAGGACGTTTAGTCTATTTGATGTAGAAAATCAATAAAGTTTATAGATATTTTGAGGTTATTTTCTATAGAAATAAAGTTTTGGTTTTATTTACATTCTTATTTTAGTATGATTTGATCTCATTAAAGTTTAAGGGTGAACCACTTAGAAATAGGTATGTTAAGATCACATTGCATGAAACTTTCATGCTACACATCCACATCATGATCCGTGTCATTCAGTTGTATCAGCATATGTGATCATTGATGGGTCGAGTTATGACAAATGTAATAAAAGCCGCTTTGATCCTATGTTGGTATGATTGATGGACCAGATTCAGCTCGTATAGTTATTTTACAATGCATAATTATAAGGATACACATATAGCTCGAGCGGGAGATTATTGGATCCTTAATCTAACATTGGGTTAATATGTGAATAATTATGTGTTGCAGACTGTCATATAAGGTTAAGCCCATTTTAAAGTGATCTGCTAAGGTTCGGGTAATTTGAGTTTTAATGTATCTAATAAGGTGTGGACTTTTAATGTGTAGAGACTTAAGGATAATTTCTATTTTTATGATGAGTTAAAATAGAAATACTATAAGATAACATGAAAGTTATTTATATATAGCGGTTATAGTCCCCAGATCACATATTATATTCTATTCTTTCTGACATCCCATCATCAAAGAGAGTAGTGAAAAAGCTAAAGAATTCTCTAAGAAAATATATTGATCTGGAAGATAAACTGCATGGTTCTAAAGAATAATTGATCGTCATGGATTCAAATACGTTTTCACTTATTGATTTATTAATTCTTGATGATCTAACGTGAACGTTACTTAATTTTTTTGAGTGATGGTTTACGCCGTAGGATATTTTTAATGGTTAATTCATGGTATAGAAAAATAAATTTCTATAAGAAGTTGCCTCCTTTTTATTTTGGTTTTAATGTCGTTTGGTGAACGTGACCCATATCGTGTGGGCCATATATTATGCATATAATTTGAGCAACCCACCACCAAGGATAAATGCATATCTTTTCGTTGCAGAAGGGTTCAAGATTGAATAAACACCGAAGAAAGAAAACGCGGTCTTGTTCACTTCACGGATTCGAGTTTTCAATTCGAGCTGAGATGTGATATTTTCTGAGAGCTTTTCACTGTAGTAGAAAAAGTTAGATGTGACATTTTCTGAGAGCTTTTTACTATAAAAACCTAAAACTGAAAACTCGAATCGGTAAAATGAACGAGACCTAACTTGCATAATTGGTCCTTTCATAAATTGGTGACCTTTGTGGTTTACGTTTAAAGACACGTGAAAATAACTAATTGGACATTTGGATTATGAAAGTGACTAGGGCCTGCCTCTAAGGGCGTTTAGCCTATTTGATGCAGAAAATAAATAAATCTAGAGGAATGCTCTAAGAGCATAAAGTACTTATATCATTTCTTAAACACGATAAAATTTGTCTTTGAATTTTCCTATATATTATATGAAGATCAACCTTTTTAGAAAAATGACTCAAACTAAAAGTAAATTAAGAGAATAGATTTTATTAGTTTTCCAAAAATATTTGTATATATATATATATACCTAGTCTTTAAAAATGGCACCAATCAAATTAATAGTACATCAGTTTTAAAAGCTTAATTTCCTGTGCAGCAACCAGTATAAATTAGATTGTATAAGGAGGAAACTGATGAACTTACTTTTAGAGTGCATGTGTGTGAATTTTTACTCTTTATTTTTAATTAATACCCTTTTAACTAATAAAATTACATAATTAAAAAAGATATTAATTTAGAGCAAGGGGTAAAAATTCATATTTATGCATTTTAAGGAGTATATACGTCTAATTATATATGTAACATCTAAAAATTTTCATGAAAATGGTACATTTAAATCTAAAATTTCTCGTGCTATTGCTCCAAATCATTCATCAAATCATGGGAAAATAGATTAAGCTCATTGTGCTAGTGACGACGGATTAGTTAGGATTTTTAATTTAAATTTTATAATTATCTTCCAGGATATATTTTATTTTATTTTTTAAAGAAATTAAGATCATGTTTATGTTGTACAATTATTTTTAACTAGTCAAGTTTATCTTTTATATCTCCATAAATGCATCACGCAATTTCATTCAAGGTTTTAATGATATTCTCTCTCCTCTTTTTGGTTCTATTTCTCTCTTTTTCTATCTGACTTCTATCCACGTTCTTCAAAATGGGCCTCTAAGCCCATCTTGAGCATTAAAGAGAAATGGATCAGGCCGGCTGAGTCTACATAAGGCACTTCTGGACCCAAAGCCTGATCGGGTTCTGTATGGGGTCGCCCAACTCTTATGTTTCATTAAAAAAAGCTTAAATGGGAAAGCGAGAATAGCTGCTAATCTAGATTGTGACACAACAACACGATTTGAAATTCGTACAAAATTAATGGATTTGAATTTATTATAAATAGGACCAGGTTAAAAACAAGTTGAATCTATATAACACGATTAAATAACAGATTATTTTTAGGTTAATCCGCTAATTCACAATTGACCCACTGCAATCCATTTATTAAAAGTATCGTATTTGAGTAATGCGATTAATAATCCAATTACAACCCAATTACAATGTGTTTGTTACCTATTTACATTTGTAAAAAATCATATACTATATACAGTGCTGGAACTTTGAGCCGACGAGCCTGCCCGAAGTCTAAATTTTTCAGGCTTGGTGGGCAGGCCCATATGGCCGCCCGTCCAAGCATATTTTTGGGCTCGGGCTTGGGCCGCTTGAGAAAAATTGGAATCGCTGAAGCCCGCCGCCGACAAAAGGCCCCGACTGTTGACAGCCAAATTTTTTATTTTTATTTTTTTCCCTTTGGCCCGAAGCCCGATCAACGGCTAGTTTTTTGAACATTGGCGCCAATCCGACCCGCCGCCCGAAAGCACGATTCCAACAAATTTTTTTATCGTTGCCCAATTTTTTGCCCGACCCCGCCCCGCCGAGACAAAAAATGATCGTTAAAACTGAATTTAGGGGAAAAAAATTAATTTTTTAACCCAAAATTTTTTTTATAAATACTCTCCAACCCCCACATATTTTTCTCATCAAAACTCTCTCAATCTCTCTCCATCTGTCTCATAATTTTTACATGATTGGTAATGAATTCAATAAATATGAAACAAATCCAACTTTGTTTTTTTTTTTTTTTTATTTCTTTAAGTCTGATATGAGTATGTATATGTATGTATACATGTATGTATGCAGCATGCGTGATAATAATTAATATAGAAGGAGATGGATATCTCACAGTCACTACATTCTAGGAAGGTGATCAAATCTGACATATATGGAAGGCAAAATTAAGATTAATGACTCAAGGAAAGGAAAAGAAAGAAAAACAAAGAGCGCGTTTGGTTTCAATCTCAAAAATGTTTTTCACATTTTTTGAGAAACAAAAACTGAAAATAACCTCAAACGCGTTTGGTTTGTGTTTTCTTAAAAACTGAAACTGAAAATGTTTTTGACCCTTTTCATATTTTGTATACATTTCTGAAAACGGTTTATACTCGTTTTCATTTTCTCATTTTTCATTTTCTTCTACTCTCGTTTTCTTCTTTCCTCGCCGTTCTTCGTTCTCCGTTCGTCTGCACCATGGTCTATGTCCGCCAAAAGGAAGATCTTTGGAACTCAATCATCACCGGCGGCTTCCTCCAGATGCACCCGGGGTTCGCCGCCTCGGGTGGGGATGGGCTTCTCCGACTACACCTCAATTTTTTTTAAACTGAAAACAATCTGGGAATAAAACTACCAAACACATTTTCAGAAATGCATCCAAAATAAAAATGAAAACGTTTTTGTTTTCATTTTTATACAGAAAATAAAATTATTTTAGAATGAGTTCCAAACGCACCCAAAAATCAACTTTGACTCGAGAACTACTTTAATTATTTGCATATAAATGGGCCATGAAACGTCAATGCCTTTCTCATACACATTCATTATATAAATGGGCCATGGAACTCAAGTTAATTTATTAAATTAAGTTAATAGTGCGTATTAATTTTAATTTTTATATAATTTTAATATAAAATAATTTAATAATTATTTATAATAATTATTAAATAATAATATATACAATATTATAAAATTAAAAAAGATAATAAAAAATATTTTTTTCCCAGGTCATTCAGACTGGCTCCAGCAGTCAAAAATAGGCCAAAAATGATCGTTAAAACTGAATTTAGGGGAAAAAAATTAATTTTTTAACCCAAAATTTTTTTTATAAATACTCTCCAACCCCCACATATTTTTCTCATCAAAACTCTCTCAATCTCTCTCCATCTGTCTCATAATTTTTACATGATTGGTAATGAATTCAATAAATATGAAACAAATCCAACTTTGTTTTTTTTTTTTTTTTATTTCTTTAAGTCTGATATGAGTATGTATATGTATGTATACATGTATGTATGCAGCATGCGTGATAATAATTAATATAGAAGGAGATGGATATCTCACAGTCACTACATTCTAGGAAGGTGATCAAATCTGACATATATGGAAGGCAAAATTAAGATTAATGACTCAAGGAAAGGAAAAGAAAGAAAAACAAAGAGCGCGTTTGGTTTCAATCTCAAAAATGTTTTTCACATTTTTTGAGAAACAAAAACTGAAAATAACCTCAAACGCGTTTGGTTTGTGTTTTCTTAAAAACTGAAACTGAAAATGTTTTTGACCCTTTTCATATTTTGTATACATTTCTGAAAACGGTTTATACTCGTTTTCATTTTCTCATTTTTCATTTTCTTCTACTCTCGTTTTCTTCTTTCCTCGCCGTTCTTCGTTCTCCGTTCGTCTGCACCATGGTCTATGTCCGCCAAAAGGAAGATCTTTGGAACTCAATCATCACCGGCGGCTTCCTCCAGATGCACCCGGGGTTCGCCGCCTCGGGTGGGGATGGGCTTCTCCGACTACACCTCAATTTTTTTTAAACTGAAAACAATCTGGGAATAAAACTACCAAACACATTTTCAGAAATGCATCCAAAATAAAAATGAAAACGTTTTTGTTTTCATTTTTATACAGAAAATAAAATTATTTTAGAATGAGTTCCAAACGCACCCAAAAATCAACTTTGACTCGAGAACTACTTTAATTATTTGCATATAAATGGGCCATGAAACGTCAATGCCTTTCTCATACACATTCATTATATAAATGGGCCATGGAACTCAAGTTAATTTATTAAATTAAGTTAATAGTGCGTATTAATTTTAATTTTTATATAATTTTAATATAAAATAATTTAATAATTATTTATAATAATTATTAAATAATAATATATACAATATTATAAAATTAAAAAAGATAATAAAAAATATTTTTTTCCCAGGTCATTCAGACTGGCTCGAGCAGTCAAAATTAGGCCTGCGGCCCGTCTATGAACCTTCTCAGACATGGCTCGGACGTCAGGTTCAAAATTAATTTTTTCAGGCGCCCGTCAAAAATTTGAGCAATAACTATATATAATTTTCTTCTTTTCTGAAGCTAGGGTTAGAACTCTCTTTCTCTCTCTCCCTCTCCTGCTCTTCCGGTTCTCCCTCTCTCCTCCGGCGCGGCGCTGATTCTTCGTTAGCTCCTGGCTCTCTCCTCCGGCGGCGCTACTCTAGTTCTTCCTTGGCTCCAGGCTCTCCGGCAGTCACAGTCACAGATTGGTAAGGCCCTGCGCTACATTTGTCTTCTATTATTTTAATTCGAGTTTTTCTTTTTCAGTTTTATTTTGGGAACTAGTCACAAAAAGATGCAACTTTGAATTATTTTCACAAAAATACGAATTTCTTAGGCTTGCTATTTGTGTGTGTGTTTGTGTGTATATAGATATGGTTATGTAGTTATGGATGTATATATTATAGATAATGCAACTTAAATGGTTTTGATGTCACCGTATGAAATTATATAGTCATGTATGTGAAACGCAGAGAGGAATTCAATGGGTTCAGGAGCTGAAAATCTTGAAGAGAAGTTGACATCTTTGCTTGGTCAGCTCCAATTTGAAATTGGTATTTTCCAAAGAATGGTTTACAAAAACAAGAACCAGCATAGGCGCTCCTCATATTTCCAATATTTATTGAAGGTCTACAGTTTTTAACCTTTATTTTTAAGCTTTTTCCTTTATCTGTTAAAAGGGTTTATTTATTTATTTAAATTATTTGATGTTTCCAGTGCAATAGCTTAGATGGGGTTGTTCATTTTTTAAGTCTTTTGTAATTGACATTACTGTTTTGGGTTTTCAGGTAAGGAGGGATTTGAGGCTTCTGAGATCTGCTAAGCTGGAAGAGGTTCTGAGTTCTTGCTTCCAAGTTATTACTGGAAAGAGACCTAAACAAAAGGTTCATCTTTTAGAAAGGTAAAAAAAGTTTATAAAACTTATGTTTCCTCTGTAGAAAGTGGGCTGGCTTCTGGCGTTAGACCTTTTTTTTCGCCCCCACTAATATATGGGAAACCCTTGTGAAAAGGAAAGTCTTTTCTTCAGTTTGAAAATTATTGGGCTTTTTTAGTCCCTGAAGTATAGGCTGAATCCCATGTTGATCTTAACTTTTAAAATGTCTCGGAACAAGTTTTAAATCTATCAAATTGTCCTGAAATCCATCCAACTGGAAAAAGGCATGTGAGGACCATGCGCCGTTTTTAATGAGGGCTAATTTTGTCATTTTACGTCTAAGGGCATGACGGTTAAGAAGGGATTCGTGTGTTTTCCTTTGAGATCTTGACATTCGAATGAACGGAAGGACTAATTTGGGACTGTTAGTAGATTAAGGATTTGTTCTGCAATGTTTTAAAATTCAAAGACAAAAAGTTGATTTGACCTATACTTCAGGTGAGTTTAACCCAAAATTATTTTATGACTTTCAATTGATCTTTCAGTATTGGAATCATCAATATATCTCTGTCCACTATCAAATCTAGATTGTAGGATTCATACAGTAAGAAACTCTGATGTTCATATGAATAAGATTTCACATTTATGATTTTGTTTCCTTGTAGTTTGAAGAGGAGGAAACTTGAAGTTGGAAAATATACTTTCTTGGAGCGTCTATTAGGAGCAGCACGGCTCCTTTCTCAGGTTATATTCCACTTTTGATAATGTCAACCATCTTCTTTTTTATACTTTTCGAATTTTACTGCAATGGTTGGCTTGGTCTCTTTCTGTCATCTTTTTAAAAAGAGCAGTCACATTGATGCAAGACTGAGTGGATAAATGCTTTCAATGGCGATATGGCAATACAAAGTGTTTGCTAATTGCAAAAAAAAAAAATCAAAACTTTTCTTTCTTCTAACCCATATGGTTAAGCAATCTTCACCAATCCAAGCTACCTCATAAGAAGTTCTGCACTTCTTTTTTCCCCCTCTCTTTGCAGATGGTTGAGCCAATGCTAAAGGCAGCTTCGTATCCTTCACTTGTTGATGGCCTGTTTATCTTGGATCAGTAGCTAAATATGTGAATTCTCCTTGACTATTCTACAGTGGGATATCTGTCTTGCTTGCTCGATCATTTTTCATGGGATTCGCTCTGACAATTTTGGCTGTGCTCTCACGAATGCGAGTTTTGGTCCAACAGGTAAGTTTGATATCTTCTAAAACTTTGATCTTTTAATGTTGGAAAATATTTTCTGCATAAACTTTATGCCCTTATTAGATGATCAACCTTGACCAATCCTTTGACTCACATAGACTTTGGAGGGAGTTTTATGAAAACATTGAAGAGGACAAAAATAGAGGATTTTTTGTGTGAAAGAGAAATGAGAATTACTCGCTGCAATAAGGTCCCACAAAGAACTTGTTAGGAGGCTACTTGTGGGATAGATGAATGATGAATCTGAATTCTGTTCAAGGAAGAGTGTCTTGATTACTTGAGATATATAAGATTTGCCTTTCATAAATTGTTTTCTTCTTTCTGTCACTGTTATTCTGAGTTTTTGATGATTTTAAATTTATCTGGTATAAGCATAACACCTTGGTTTAATTATTGGTTCACTTCTATTTGCTTTGCTTCTGCAGATACTAGTTGACGTTGTTTCGGTATTCAACACTGTTTCTTCTCTCTCCCTAAAGAAGCAATCTGTAAAGATAACTCATGATGGCATTGGGGTCAGCTTCCTTTCTTAATTTTTCTGCGAATTATTTGTTTTTTAGGAGATTCTTTCCAAGTTTCCTTTCTGCTTGAAAATATATTTCAACAATGTCCGATGTATATGATGCAGGTCTTCAGGGAGTTTTTCCCTACAAACATGGACTTTATCACCTTGGAATGTGTTTGGGAATCAGACAAGTTTGTGTTACATGAAAGGATGCATAAGAGTAAGATTGAAAGTCATGACTCAGAGCTCGAAGGAGGAGCTTCTATACCAGCATCATCAGTACTATATCAATGTGTCGAGTCTTTTCTTGGAGGTACAAAAATTTACGGCATTTGATTGCTTGTGATATTTACCCTGCTCTCTCTCTCTTTCCTTTTGGAAAACATAAAGGAGGTTCCCTCAGCAAGTTTTTCTATGCATATCTTACGATATGCTTATGCAATCAAGTGACAAGTTGCTCTCTTTCATGCAATATTCAATCGGCTAGTACTCGACATCTAACAATAGGCCCATGTGTTTTAGGAAAATGATACACATGGTGAGAAACAGATTCATGACACATCACGACCATGAAACTAAAACATAAATTGTTAGGGTTACAAAAACCAAGGATGAAACAGTAATTTTGGTTTTGCACATTCTATAGTGAAAGATTCGTTTTTAGCAATTTACCGAATTTAATTAACGTCCAATTACTGAAGGCATAAATAAATAGAACACAAGCAATTTTTACGTGGTTCGGTAAATACCTACATCCACGAGGTTACGTCCATCATTGAATTATCCACTAATTATCAAAATTACAATCACTAATGGACTTAAACAATAAAAGATTCACTCTTCTACTTGTCGCCTAAGTATTGTGACAACTAGATGGCCTGATTCAGCGAGCACCACTCGTCATCAATACTGCACGGTGGAATCCCTGTGAAATCCCTTAAATTGGCAATTTGCTATCTCCCGAAAGATTCAAATTCTTCTCCCAAAGAATGTCAATTGGTTGAACTCCTTTTAACTCTGCAAATCGTCTTCTACCGAAGACAAATTCTCCTGAACGCTCGGACTTCAAAACTTTATGCGTAAAAACCCAAGAAGCCCACAGCATCAATGGTGTTGAGTTGTATTTATAGAGCATTACAAGTAATCTCCATCTCAAAGTTGGGTAGTGAACTCAAGTAGAACTCAAATTTTTCTCTAATTAAACCAGTAATTATCTTCTTTTTATTTTTCTGCTCTACTAGATAAAATAAAATCTTTTCAAATCTTAACAGCTATAGTAAATCTTCAGTAGACATCAACATAAAAATTCAACTTTATCTCCCCCCGATTTTAGCTAATGCATATCTTTTAAACTTATCTGAGAGAATATTCTCTTGAAATTCAAATATGCCCGACACATTTTTCTTGTACAACAAGGAACTAGAATTACAGAATATTTCTTGAATATTGTTGGCATAAATGCCAACAAAAAACCTAATATATAGGATTTTAACCCGTGTGCATTCATGATATTTGCAATAGAAAAAGTTGCATGATGTGTATAGTCGTTCTATGTTATAATCTCTAGATAGAACAAGTCTTTTTTTGCTGTATATGCAAAGCGAGGGGGACAAGTTTTGCTTAAACACCTGCAAAAGCGATATAGTCCTTTGACATGTTATATATATAGTTCCTGAAGAATTTGGTTTTGATTTAGTTTTTTCTTTTTTGTTATATTTCCTTTTCTTTTTCTCTCTTTGGTTTCGCTGCTTGGTTTGAGCTACCTCCCAAAAATGGTCATGAATTTTTGGCTTGTACAGTTGATGAACTACCTTCCGGGGGTGCAAACGAGGACCAAACGGCCAAAAAGGGCCCGAAACACGTCGAGGAAGACGCGGTGGAAACTGATGATGGAAAGCTGCAGGTTGAGGATAGTCTAAAATTCCCTCAAGGCGGTTTGCTTTCATGCTCAAGCTCTTCTCCAAATACTCCAAAACTAAAGTCTGCTTCAAAAAAAGTAGCCTTTGTTGCAGTTAAAAATTCTGTGCCATCAACAATAAATGCAATGGGAATTCATTTAAAGGAAACTGAAAGCAAGAGTGGTGAAAAGGAAGAGTCGTTCTTTAGCTTGCTCTCTGCCGGAAGTACCAAAGAAAGCTTATTTTGAAATTGATTACATTTCAATTAATTTATTGACTGTAAAAGAATTAAAGAAATTCCGTAGAAATGTTACAACAATATAAAATATTCTTCAAACCACAAGTCGTTTTGTTTTTGAATTTTGCTGTCCTTTTTACCGTGTATATCTTTACTTCTTTACTATTGGTCTGTTTAGTTCGTTGATTCAAGTTTTTAATTCGAGTTTAGATGTGATTTTATTTGAGAATTTTTTACTGTAATAAAAAAGTTAAATGTGATTGTTTCTGAAAATTTTTTATTGTGATAAAACTTGAATCAATAAAATGAACGGAGTCTATATTATTATAGAAAAATATTTGCGAAATGTTTTGCACATGAGAGGCACGTGTGAAATATATGTACACTTTTTTTCCTTACCTTTTGTTTCAGATCTTTTTTCCTTCTTATCACGCGTATTTGACTAGTAACAATATACAACACTGAAAGACCTATTTTTTTTTTAATAATTATTAAATAACTACTTTTTAATCCAACTGTTTAAGAACTAAGAAGTAAACAAATAACGGTTCTTTTCCCTCCTCCAAGTTTGGAAATAGCCGTGTGAGAAGATAAAAAGGAACAACAAAAAATAATCATATTTAAAAAGAAGGAAAAAAATCATATTTAAATGAGGTTGTTAATATGGACCCACTTCAAGGTTGAGATGATGACTTATCAAAAAGATTTTGTTTCTAGGATCTGGTGGAATTTGGAAGAGACCTTAACAGTAAAATGCTTGATTGAGCTCATCTCTGTAATTCAGTAATTCGCTGACAAGATTTCTATTTATTTATTCTTATTTTCGTTAAAAAGAAACTTTTAAGTTTCTGAAGCTTTGAAAAACTAGGGGAAAAAAAAAAAGAAAAATGGTGCAAAGTCTTCTACAAGCAGTACCAGTTCTCCATTCTTGCTCTTCTCTTTCTTCCATTCCTTCCAATATCTTTACCTCTAGGTTATAATATTTCCTTTCCTTTCATCTCTTAGCCTATATTGTGTTCAATTAACTTAAAAAATATTTCCTCTAGTCCCCAGTTTTTCCTTCATTTTTCTGGGTTCTGCTATCACTTTTTTTTTTTTGTTTCCTTTTGTGAATGGTCCTTTTGCAAATTGCTTATATGGGTTTTTTCTGGGTTTTTGTTTTCTTCCTCTTTGATGCTCAGAATCTTTTAAAACTCGATTTTTTTTTTGCAAATGTTTTTTTTTTTTTTGTTTTGTTTTTTGTTTTTTGTTTTTTTTTTTTTTGTTCTTTCAACTTACATTTGTGTTTCTGCAAATGCAGAGGAGTGCAGGGTAAAACTGTGGTAAAGTGTCAAATTGAGAATTCTGTGGCCACTAATAAGCTAGTGTGTAGACATGTCTTATCTGGTCTTGTGGCTTCGTTGATATTTGTCTCTCCAATAAACCAGGTTGGTTGGTTTCTCATCTTATAGTATGATGATGAATGTTCGATACAAAAGTGTTTGTGGGCAAACTGAAAAGATTTCTTTTTTCGGTAGAGGAATTGCGGGTTCAATCCCGTGTTGTATAAAAAAAAAAAAAATTGCAAGATTTTTTCTATCACTAGTTTGTGACATGATTGAATTTCTTTATTGTGCGCTAGATAATGACATGAAATCCTTGTTCTAAAGCTTTTATGCCAAAATTAATCTCTAAAAGCTAGCTAGTTCTAGAGCTTTTGATTTACTTCTCATGATAGTGGTTTTTTCCTTTTCTTCTTGCTAATTTGACCTAAATTACATCTCGACTAGTTTAACATTTTTTTTTCTGGATAAACAAGGAGAATTCTGTGGGTAGGTATATGAAAATTGAAAAACAAATCTATATGATACAGTTTTTATCCATTGTATCATATCAGATTAAGAAAAGCATGACAACTTAACAGATTGATTGAAATCTTACGGTTTCCAAATTGTGCCTTTCCGATGGGGTATCTTCATACCCTACCATAAAACTTGTCAGAAAGGATATAAGATGTGTTGGAAAATTTATTGGCAGGGTATGAAAATAAATACACTGTTTTTAACGTAGGGATCACATTAGAATTATATCACATTAAGAAGTTATTTAACAAAACCTAATGAAGATCCGTGGTGTCCTACTGAAAGAGCATTTGAATTTTTCAGCTTTGTGTGTGGTTCCTAAAGTTACCTTCTTGGCAGGCTACTGCTGCTGGTTTAACCCATCAAGGAAATATATGCCAGCTTGCTAGTGCAGTAAATAATTTGCCAAGTCTTCCACTTGATGAGGATTCTGATAAAGGAGGTGGGAAGCTAATGATGATGAGAGGCATGACGGCCAAGGATTTCGATCCCATCAGATATTCAGGAAGATGGTTTGAAGTGGCTTCACTTAAACGTGGATTTGCCGGACAAGGTCAGGAAGACTGCCACTGCACGCAGGTAAATGCTAAAAAGGGTATGTATGGTTGTGAGTTATAACTCTCGAATGCTAATTGGGAAAAAAAAAAAAAAAAACCCTCGAGATTGGAGATTCGAACTCAAGACCTCGACAATATAGTCGGGCCTTGAATTGAATTACCAACAGGATAAGCCTTTAAGCACAATGTTTATGTGTTCTTTACAAGATAGTGATAAACATGATATAAGAAATGTTATTCGCAATTCTCAACCTTAGTACCTCTATAGATTTGGCTGCGCTCGTAAGAAAACTCTGTTATTTTTTTTTTATATCATTATTTTTGTTTGTTATTCTGTGGTATTTGGAAAAGAACTGTCTTTTAAATGCCATTCAAGTATTTAGTAAGTGGAAATCCATGAATTTGGGTGCTTCGTTGCAAGTGACAGGAGTAAAAACGAAGATTACATAGCTCCAACATTTTTGTGGCTGCTGAAAATATTTTCATTGCCAAAATTCAGGGAGTATATACGTTTGATAAGGAAGCATCATCCATCCGAGTTGATACCTTCTGTGTCCATGGAGGTCCTGATGGATACATTACAGGCATAAGGGGAAAGGTTCAATGCCTTCCGGAGGAAGATTTGCAGAAAAACGCGACAGAACTGGAAAACCAGGAGATGATCAAAGAGAAATGTTATCTGCGTTTCCCAACATTGCCATTCATTCCTAAGCAGCCATATGATGTGATTGCAACTGATTATGACAATTTCGCTCTTGTTTCAGGAGCAAAAGACAGAAGCTTCATACAAGTAAGTAATGATTTGAAGAAGACCCTGCAATTCATGTCAATCTAGTGCTAAAACTGGTTACTATTTGTAAGAGGAATATCTAGTTTATACAAGTTCTTTTTTTTTGTTGAAAGATCATACGAAAAAGAAGAATTTTTTGTGGTAGGCAATGAAAATTTGAGGACACAGTTTTGAACCATCAGGTCTTTATCAAATGCTTTTAAACTTTCATACTCTTTTATAATTTGATATGATCCTAATATGATTTGACGGTTCATAAGAATCGTAACTACTCTTACAATAGGATACTTTTTCAAGTCCAACATTAGATTGTCCTAAGAGAAATTTATACTGTTGGTGCTCACTTAAAGCATATTTTGCATCAATATTTCAGATATACTCAAGGAGACCTGACCCTGGACCTGAATTCATAGAGAAATACAAGTCTTACTTGGCGAACTTCGGATACGACCCGAACAAAATCAAGGACACCCCACAGGATTGCCAAGTAATGTCAAACAGTCAGCTAGCTGCAATGATGTCGATGCCCGGAATGCAACAAGCTCTTACGAACCAGTTTCCTGATCTGGAATTGAGGGCCTCAGTTGTATTTAACCCCTTTACCAGTGTATTTGATACTCTTAAGAAGCTTGTTGAGCTTTACTTCAAGTAGTTTCTCAACTCAGTACAACTTATGAGGCTCTTATGGATTTTTTACATTAACTTAAACAATGAGATATTCTATGTTCATGATTTTAATATCTAAAAAGACGTTTGGTTCATGGATTAGAATCATGTGATTAGAACCATTTTCGATTTACGTGTATTTTTTGTGAGAGAAAACACTATAACGAACCATGAACCATAATTGAAATCATAGTTTGAATCCTCCAACCAAACATAAATTAGACTTGGCATATGCAATACGCCACTTCTATACCAATAGAATCCTTGATGTGGTTTGAACAAACACAATTGATTTTAGGGTGTTTGGCATTGTTACCATTTAAACTTACGCTCTGCCGAATTGCTACTTAAAGTTTTAATTTTAACAAGTTAAATTTAATAAAGTATTGCAGAATGTCCCTACAATCAATAATGGCTGCTAAAATTTGGATGGGAATGCCCTCCTATACATCCCGTAAGCTCGTCTAAGGGCAAAGATTGAATTTTTTTATGATGACAGAGCATGTCATGATCAGAATATCTACAATATTTTATTAGATTCATGAGTAATTTGTCAAGATTATTTCTAATTCACTAAACTTAAAATGGGAAAAGCACCAAAAACCCTTGATTTTATGAAATTCACAAATCATGTTGTCATGTCCACTAGGCTTCAGCCTTTACTTTATAACCTAATTCAATCCCATAATTTTTGTAGTGCAATAGTGTTTTACTTAGTACTTAGTTTGTAGTTAATTCTTCTCTACATCACAACTTCTCTACAAGCAGAAATATGAACCTAGAGTTTTAATTACCAAACTGATGAAATAAACAAGACCATAAAAGAAAATTTCAATTGCTAAATTGGAAAATGAAAACTTTTTGATTCAAATACAAAGTTTGCCCATGTCATCATCAAGCTTTCTGAGCAGAAAAGTTAAGAAATAAGTCTCTGATTTCATCACCAGCAGCTCTATCAAGTGCTGTTCTGCCATCACCATCCTTGACATCATACTTGGCTCCAGCCCTCAATAACTCCTCAATCTTTGGCTTATCACCTTCAGAGGCAGCCAGCATTAGCAAGATATCCACTGGGTGGATTTTTAGGCTTAAAAGAGCCTCCATTTTGTCATATGAACCCTCAACAGCAAGCATTCCCATGTAGTTAAAGTACTGTAGTAAATGTAAACAAAAGTGAGCTGAAAATGTTCTCATCATTATACTCTTAGGCCTTGTTCGCTTCGCGGATTCGAGTTGAGATGTGATATTTTTTGAGAGTTTTTAATTGTAGCAGAAAAAATTAAATGACATTTTCTGAGAACTTTTAACTGTAAAAACTTAAAATTGAAAACTCGAATCGGTGAAATGAATGAGGCCTAGATTTCAATTTCATATCAAATTTATACAATCTCGGTCAAATGACTGATTTTGATCACTTAAATAACGACTTCAGTAGTTATGAGATATAGCATAACCGATTTATGATAATTTTTAAAGAGTAAAGTAGTTAACTAAAGAGAATGTAAATATTTGATATGAAATTAAAATTTAAATGTACAATGTTGAGAACATCATGTATGATATACATTTTTTTTATAAGCTGAAAACACAAAGTATAAAATAATAAATAATCAAACTATTCTCAGAATAATAATAATAAATAACCAAACAAGAGGAAAAAAAAAAAAAGAGTAGAATGTAGGATGTCACTGAGGAACGAGGGCTTTATAAAAATAACTCTTTTAAAAAGTTTTATTAGTAAAATAACTTTTTAAAAATTTTTATTTGTAAAATGACCTCATTTTACAAAGAATGAGTAAATATCTTTCTTCATACAAAATAAAAGAAGGTCATTTTGCTAATTTCATTCTGTTGGAAAGTCATTCTAACATATTGTCCTGAGGAACCCAATATTTTTAAGGACATGTTTTTTCTTCCAAATGGATAACGTCCCTCCTAAGTTAACAGCTCAAGAACCGTTAAATTCAGAAAAAACGTTAACTAAACTAGAATAAATAATACTGCATAAATGAAAAAAATAATATCTATTACGGAAACAATCCTCGAACAGAATTTTTAAGATTTACAAATCTCAAATCTAAATATTTCTAAAAATCTCCAAATATCATAAAATAAACAAAATTGTATTATTTTTTCTTAACTAAGCTAGTAACACAAAAATGCGGGTATTACATGCATCCATGTTTTGAGACTTATAAATCACAGATTCATAAAACTCTTTCTTGATTTTTGGACACCGATATTTTTCTCAATTTGGCTACCTCAGGGCTAGGACAACTTTCACAAGTGAATTGACCCAAAATTCTATGACTTTCTCCTCAATTGATACAGAACAAAAAAATATATGTGATTTAGATAAAATTTCCATCCAATCCAAAATAAGAAAAAAAATTACATTACTCCTCTAAAAATTCCAACTTTAAGAGAGAGAGAGAGAGAGAGAGAGAGAGAGAGAGAACCTGTTCAACATCATCTCTATCAAAGTCATCCCGTGACTGGCTGCCATAAATGCCAGCACCTTCAGCATCAACACCATTTTTACCAAACTTGAACCAGCACTTGGCTCTAGACCCATTGGTTGGTCCAAAAATTCCAACACCACCAAAGGATCTGACACAACCAAGCCTAGAAATTTTGCCATTAACAAACTGGGTTTTCAATTTTGACACTGATTTTGTAGTCAAGACTTTGTGGGTGGCAATTATACTAGTGCTAGTACCACTAGTCCATGGGATAGAAGCCATGGCTAAGTTCAAAGTCTTTTTTTTTTTTTTTTTTTTTAACTGCAGAACTCAAGTTCAAGACTTGAGCTTTCTTTCTGTTTTATCATTCTTGGTTCTCAGATATCTTCCTATCCACTAATTTCTCAATGGAGGGGAGATGTTATGGTGTGTGCAGGAACACTTGTGATTGTTACGCGTCAACCATCCAACCAGTTAGATTGTGAAGTTTTGATGACTTTGAACATCCAATACCACTTGACTAGGAGGGCTTGAACCAAATGCGGCCTATGACCATGGGCCATATTCATTCTGAATTAGAGTCGGTAATATAGGTCACGATATGATAATATGATTTAAAAATGATATGAATTTTACAGATTAGAGTTAAGAAAAAAGAAGTTCGGGTCAGAATTAGGTCGATCTGAAATTGACACGAAAAACACGGATCAATTTTAGATTAGCCCTGTCTAACCCGAATACGACGCGGAACTCGTAAAAAACTAAAAAATACATATTTTTTATTTTATTATGAACTTGTGATATAATGATATTTATACTCAAAATCTTATACTATTATTTGCTTAATTTTAATGGATGTTATTGTTTTAGTATGTTATGAATTTTAAGTTATTTCTAATATGTAAAAAAACGAAATAAAAGTACATAATTTTCATGTCAATTTCAAGTTCACGGGTTAATTTCGTATCACGGGTCATTTTCGTATCATGTCGTGTCAACTCATAAAATGATCGTATCGTGTTGCGGTTTTTAAAAAATTTCGTGTCACATGTCGTGTTCGGATTGACTGTAAATTAAAAAAAAGATCAAAATACGACATGTGACACGAATTGCCACTTCTATTCTTGACCAACTTGGTCTTTGCAGACAATTATACGCCACCTCCCAAAACGTCTTTTTTTTTTTCGATTATTTACAAAACGTCTTTCTCTCATAGATGATAATAGAGCCTTCATACTAGTGTGACCATTTACTCATTGTTGGTTATAGTTTAAATCACATTAAATTAAAAAATTTTAAAGACTGAAATCATAGCCTTTTCAGTGGTTTATTTTCTTATCAAGCCCACAACTTTGTTGACAAAATGGACAAAATCGCATCATAATTTCAATTGCAATGAAAATTGTAACCAAGGATGCAAATATCAATATCTATCAAAGAAGTATCAATATCGGTAAGATAAATATAAAATAAGTAAGTTCATCCTAAAACACATGTGACTTTAAAAATCAATTACGATTAAGGTAATATAGTGAGAACTTTTAAAGTTTGAGTCAAAGTCAAGTATAGTACATGTGACATAGAGAGAAATTTAAAATTTAAAGTAGTAGTGTAAGTTTAGGAGGCAAAACATGGACGACTAAAAATGTGTGCTAATGACCAAAAGGGAAAAAAAAATTCTAAGCAAAACTATGACGTTTTGCCTCCCACCTCTCGTCAAAGAATCACAAAGACACAATCTGTTTATTTTATCGATTCGAGTTTAGAATTTGAGTTTTATTACAGTAAAAAGCTCTCAGAAACAATCACATCTAATTTTTTTACTACAGTAAAAAATTCTTACATAAAGTCACATCTCAATTCAAATTAAAAACTTAAATCAGCGAACTAAACATGCCTAAAACCCTTGTCTCACTCTTTCTCTAAACTAAGACCCGTCAAACGATCAATTTTAAGAATAGTTTGTGTGTAAAAATTAAAAAATATTTAAAAAATATTTTTTATTTTTATTTTTAATACTTATCAATAATGTTATAATATATTAATTAATAATTATAATTAAATATAGGGAAATAGTAGAAAATAGGCCAATATGAAAAGCTTAAGAAAGCATATAGGCCAATTTTTAGTTATAGAAATTAATAGGTCATAACTTGTCAAGTTATGGTTCATAATTAGATAAGTTATCGACAAACTTGTCAAGTTATGGTTCATAACCATATAAGTTATGAACAAAAACCGTGAATTATGGACAATAACTTGTCAAGTTATGGTTCATAACCAGACAAGTTATGGATGAAAACAATAATTTTGCCTATTTATTAACTTATATAAACTATTGGCCTATTAATTTTAATTCATCTCAAGTCTTGGCCTATTTCCTTCTTTCTCCCTTAAATATAATCTTATTTTTTATTATACTCAAAATAAATTTTTTAAAAATTAATTAAACACAATTTTAAAATCCTTCTTAAAATAATTCTCAAAACAATCTAATTTTAATTTTTATATTACCGTCGAACAATCACAAAGACACAAACTAGGACCTTTCTCTCTCTTCTGCTCTTCCGGTTCTCCCTCTCTTCTCCGGCGCGGCGCTGATTTTTCGTTAGCTCCTGGCTCTCTCCTCCGGCGGCGCTACTCTAGTTCTTCCTTGGCTCCTCGCTCTCCGGCAGTCACAGTCACAGACTGGTAAGGCCCTGCGCTACATTTTTCTTTTATTATGTCAATTCGAGTTTTTCTTTTCAGTTTTATTTGGGGAACTAGTCACAAAAAGATGCAACTTTGAATTGTTTTCACGAACTTTTGGATGTAAAGTCATAGATTTTCATAATCTGTTAGTGTTACGGAATTGATCGTGTCGAAAGTTTGGGATTTGTTTTGAGTTGATATTATTGCATATAATGTGTTTGATGGTGGTTCTGAAAGGGAAAAAAAAATCATGAATTGGGGGAAAAAAGAGAAAGAGATGAAAAAAATGGTAATAAAATGAGCCGACTTTGGTGTTTTTATGTACTTTTTGTGCTTAATATTATATAGTTAATGCATGCCAAAACTATGCCTTGGCCAGGAAAGAAGATATACGATTGTTAAATTAAGAATGGTTCAAATGTTGCTTCATGGTCTATAAGTGATGTAGTCAAATGTATTAAATTGTTTGAAGTATCTCAGAGAAATTTCTTCTCATGACTTTGGCTTTTGATGAATTCACGACTTTGTTTGTCGTTTCCTTAATGTAAATGCTAATGTCAATGCTATATTTGGCACCAAAAAGTGGGAAATTGGATTTTGGTATGTTACTTTCATTTCTGTTCCATTGCATAATGCTATGTAAAATGCTATATCTACTTTTTGTCATAATTATTAAGCTTTGAAGTTGTAAAAGTAAATTTTTAATCTTGGAATAATTTAAAAATACCAATGTTATAATGATTAAATGAAAAACTAAACCGATCCACCTATAGCAATCAAATGCCAAAATTTAGCATATGCTATATTTGGTGCCAAATTTGCTACTAAGTATATCACATGCTAAATTTAACACTAAGAATAACATTGCATTGGAGAAGGATTTTTCTTACTCAAATGCTAAAATTTTTCATTAGCACACTAATTTGGTTTTGCATTGGAATATCTAGCCACGAGGTTAGGATACCTCTTATGATAATAGCGTCGCACTCAAAATAAATGTTATTGGTATTTGGTATTATTAGTTTTTACTGAATTAAGAAGTCAATGCTCCAATATATAAAAAGCTGTGAATCATTTTTTGTTTGCGAATCAGACAACTTGTCAGCGATGCTAAGCTTTATCTTTTTGATGAGCATACTATTGAAGATAACCGGTTCTGTTTGTACTGATTTTTCATCGTTTTAGTCGATGTTACGCATCTGAGACCGGATCTGGGTCCCCTCAAGCAAACATTTGCCTTCTTCTTTCTTTTAATCTCATTGCTAGTATGGGTTTAATGCGGAAATAAATAGTCCTTGGCCTGGAACAACTGTTTTTGCTCATTATTATTTCAGTGGATGTTGGTTTTAATCACTGACAATTAGGGAGTAAAAACTATCTGCTCTTTTCTTATGATTGTATTTGTGGTTTGGTTGCAAAAGGGAGATGGTTATTCGTCCGCCGGCTAGGCCACCTCTGATCACAAAGTACCTTAAGCCTTATGTCCTGAAGATGCACTTCACGAACAAGTTCGTGAATGCTCAGGTAATCCACACGCCAACTGCCACGGTAGCTGCTTCTGCTAGTTCGCAGGAAAAAGTCTTGAGAGAAAGCATGGAAACTACTCGGGATGTGGCTGCTGCTGCAATGATTGGGAAGATATTGGCAGAGCGCCTGCTGATCAACAACATCCCCGCTGTGACGGTCCACTTGAAGAGAGAACAAACATATCATGGTAAGGTTAAAGCTGTGATTGACTCTGTGAGGGAAGGAGGGGTCAAGCTGATCTAGAATTGAAAAAAAGAAAAAAATAAAAATAAAAATAATTCTTTAGTCTGTTTAAGAAAGTGTAGTTTCTAGAGCGCGGTTCTCTGTTTTCGGACAGAATCACTTTGAGGAATGCAGGACGAGATTGCTCGTTTTATGCTGGTCTATTGTGGGTGAGTTTTGTGAACCAATTTGGAAATTGACTGTTAATGCAGTGAACATTTCTCTTGGACCATTCCATGTTTGACTATTTATTTACAAATCATTCTACACTTTGCATACTATGATTCTTCGTTGGTAAGAGCCAAGGGGGAAAAAGCTTTGTATAAGTAGAATGAATCTATCATTTTGGTTTAACTGGAAAATGATGGTTTATTTGACGTAGTTTCCACAATTTGCCAAAAATTAATTATGTAGTGAATTACAGCTAGAACAGAAGCACATTCTAGTGATATCCAAAAAAAAAAAAAAAAAAAAAAAAAAAAACCCTTTGGTCCCAATTAAAATCCCTTTCTCCATAAAAAAAAAAAAAAAAAAAAAAAAAAAGTCCTTTGTGCTCAATTGAAATGCTCTTATCTCATGTTTTTAAAGACTAGTAAGATAGCACGTGCAAGGCACGTGCTTAATGTGAATTGTAAACTAAATATGAATTGATGAAAAAGTTTAGGGAAAAAAAAAATAAAGCAATTTAGGAAGAATTCATCCATAAGCAAGGACATCAACAAATGATTCTATTTTTTATTGGTAAATTTCCATCTCACCACCGGTGTACTACTAACTGTATTTTGATTTAATTTTTTTTTTAAATTGTCGCTATTTTCCACTAGTAAGAGAAGAAGTTGCCTCCAATAGCTTAATACCATTGGGGAACAAAATAAAATAATTTCCCTGCCCTGAGTTGCCTCCAATAGCTTAATACTACTATTTTTTTTTTCCTTTTATCACAAGAAATGAAGTAGCAATTGGAACCAAAGGGGGAATAATAAAAGAAAAACCAACATGGTTTCATTACTAAATTATTACAAAAAAGAGGACAAAAATATCATACGTTGCAAGGATACATCAAAGACAGAGAATGGATAAACAAAGAGAAAATGTTGATAATAATGATGAAATCAAAATTCTGAAATACTAAGTGGACGTATTTATCTATTAACTACGAACCACGATTCGAATCATAGTACAAAAATATTGTAATAAATTACGAACTATGATTTGAATCATGGTACGAATCTAGCAACTAAACGTCTCATAAATCACTCTTCAGGCTTATAAATCTGTATCTATCTATTAACTATTATTAAAGAAGAACCTCTTTTTGAATAGTGCTGAAGCTTCTCCATGCTGTCACGTAATTTTCCTCCCTATCTTTTTTTTAATACTTTTTAATCTTTATTTTTAAAATTCTTTAAATGTTTTTTTTTTTTTTGTTTTTTTTTGTTTTTTTTTAAGTTTCTCTTTTAGGGCTTCCTACTAGTAGGAGTTGACTCATTTATCGTTGATCAAGCCAAAATCACATTGAATAAAAAAAAATATAAAATAAATAGTTTTTTACACATGTCTTACTGCTAAAATTAGGAAACTAGAGGTTGTTTATTTTTTTAGGACCTACCAAAAAAACTTTCTTTTATGAATGTTTTTTTTTTACATTTTAATTTTTTAATTTAAAAAAAAAAAAATATATATATATATATATTACATTTTACTCCTATTATTATTGTCTATATATTATTTTATTACATTTTCTTTAAAAAGAATGCGGTTTGGGAGGGAGGAGGCGTCCGAAACAATTTGCACGTTTCTCCCCCACATTAACCCAAAAATAAAGTGTTAAAATGTTTTTTTTTTTTTTGCTTTATTTTTGTCATTTCTCTTCTTTTTTCCCCTCACTTCTTTCTTTCCTCCTTTTTTTTTTTTTTCTATCTACAATACATTCTTTTTTTTTCCTTTCTCAAATGTGACCCCAATAAATATTTTTTCCCTCTAATTGTCTCATTGAAATAATTTCTTCTTATATGTTCTAATCAAATTTTTTTTACAAAATGGCCCCCTCAAATACTATTTTTGCTAGATATGCTCATTTTTTTTTTTTTACTTTCTTTTTTCCTTCATTTCTTTCTTCTCCCCCTTTTTCCCTCTACAATACATTCTTTTTTCTTCATTTCTCAAATGTGACCCTCATTGATATTTTTTCCCTCTAATTGTCTCGTTGAATAATTTCTTCTCATATATGTCCTAATCAATTTTTTTTTTTTACAAAATAACCCTCTCAAATACTTTTTGACTATATATGCCAATAAATAATATTTAAAATCTTGTTCGAAAATATGTCTTTACATAAACATTTTATCTGCAATCTTTCCAAATAAATTTTTTTTCCATGTGTACTACTAAATAATTTTTTGATTAATTCGCTCAATTAACAACTTTTTTCCCTTTTAATGTTGCTCTATTAATTTTTTACTGGTTTTAATCGTTAACAAAACAATAATAAAAAACATAAATTATAAAAATTTTCAAAAAAAAAAGGACCTTTATATCAAAATTTTTTTTTTCAAAAACTGTATTCTCCAATGATAACTTTAACACATCTCTTTCACTTGGTTTATGTTTTCATGTCCCGTTAAAGATCACATGCAAATCAACAGACTATTAACACGGGATCACATGCAAATTGCAAATCAACAATATTTTGGGCGGTTTGGACACTGTGGTTCGTGGTTTAAACTCCCCAAACCACTCAATAATTCGCTTAAATATATGCATTTGACGTATTGATACGTTAAGTTTTTTTAACCGTTAAATCTATATATTTTTTAATTTTTATGTAATTTTATATAAATTTAATAAATAAAAAATTTAACCTATTAATATATTAACATAGCGAAAAACGTTCTAATTTCTCATATTATATTATGTGCGACGAAGAAATTTTTTCTTTTTTTCCAAAACCATCACTCCGGTTTCATTTGTAAAGGGCCCACTACGACATGGTTGTTCACTTTCTCTTCTTCGAAAGGCAGGTTTCATCAAAATTTGCCATTTCTTTCTCTTTTTTGCCTTTTTCCTTTTTTTTTTTTTTTTTTTTTTTTTTTTTTTTTTTTTTTTTCTTCACAAAAAAAAGAATAAAAAATAAAAAATGTCTTGCCTTTCTCTACACCTAAACCTTTCAGATCATTTAAGAATTATAAGATACTGATCTGACGGTCAATATTTAGTACAAAGTGGGGACTACAGAAGGGCCCTCAATTGAAATGCAAGAATCTAACCCTCAATTGAAATCTAGCCCTCAATTGAAATGCAAGAATCTATCTTATGTTTTTATATCCTGTGTTTTTTGAATCAGACAAATACATCTGTGGTATCATTTAGGAAAAATTAATTGTGCAAAAACGCATAAATCATCGTTCATAACGGTTTTCTCAAAGATTAATTCTAAAGGTAGTAACCTTAATTTTCATTTTTTTCCGGCAATTGACAATAATCACTTTTGATCTTTCCGGCGTTTTATTTTTAAGAAGATTCTCTAGTATACTTAGTATACCGGTAGATTAAATTTTTTTAACTGTTAAATCTACGTATTTTTTAATTTTTACGTGATTTTATATAAATCTGACGGATAAAAAACTTGACCTACCGATATATTAATGTAACATAAAAAGTCCCTTATTTTTACTCATACTCTACAAAAATCAGTGCCCTTAATTTATACAAGCAAGACAAAAAGCTCTTCGCACAGTTAATTTTGATAAAATCTAAATAACCATGAATTTTGTATGATTAGAAAAAGATCTCAATATTTTGGAAACTGCAAAATAAATTTATGCATTTTCAATTAAACATGGATGGAGATATTTTATCAATATTTTTTCCCCTTTTTTAAGGTAATTGTACTCTATTATTGTAAACGCGTCTCATTCACACTGACTGATTTTGATAGATACCGGTTCCAACTAACATTTCTCTTGATTATTGATTATAATTGAAAAAATTATTAAAATGGGACGGCTTTGTGCTTGGTTGTGCTCTACCCAACAAAGCCAATTTGGTCAAATGGGGATTCTGGAGATGGGCAGAATTTTGAGAGTAGCTTTAAAAAAAAAAAGGATGAGTAATTTTTTTTCCCCCTTGAAAAGGGAAGATTACATTTTGAAATAGAGAAATACAAATGCTAAAACCGATATAAATGGCCTCAAAAGATAGAAAAACTCAGATCTTGAATATTAACTAATACCACTAGTAAATTCGAATGAAATGCTCGAAAGATCGAAACACATTTCTTGTTCTGAAATCAAAAAACCAAATAAACACGTCAATTATCGCGCACACAAATAGTATTCACAACAATAAGCAAATAAGAACATAACCAAATATATGGCCTTAAATGTTACTCATCTAGATTTAGACCTCGTTTACCTATGTGGGTTTTCTGTAGCCTGAATTGACATTTAGTAGTGTAAAGTCTAAACAAGTAATAAAGTTCGACCCAACATTTGGTTACAATACTAGAACTCTGAGTTTAAAAAAAAAAGTGAATGAAATGATTGGTGATAGCATTTGAGTTAATTTTGTGGACATTGTTTTGGGTTAGAACCGTAGGGGGAGGAGTAAAGTTCTCTCCAACCTTCAATTTTGGGTTCAAATAAAAACGAAACTCAAATTTAAATCCAAGATGTCATGCAACCAAACAAAGGTTTGAACCCACTTTTGGGTTCAAACACTTCTAAACCCTCCAAACAAACTGGGGGTTAATTGTTAGTTGTCACTACTTGGTCATGTTTTTGCTTATCCTATTGCTAGGATACATTTCCTAGTTGTAAAATTTTATTAAAATTTTATCAGATTAGAAAAAGCTTTAACAATAATTCTCCTCTCTGCTACATATACTCTTTAACACCTCAGTCCACATGTAAGCTTTGAATTGGAGTTGTTGCTATACTTGGATACTATTGGAGATTCTCCATCATGTTAGAAAAAGACCCTACTTATTATCATCTCATTTATTCACCCATGAACAGTGACCTATCTTGCAATAGTAATGGCAGGTTTTTTTAATTGGTCTACAAAAGATAGGTTTTTAGTCCATGCTATCCTCTCTCTCTCTTGAACACAACTCACTCTCTCACTAACCATCTACCTTAAATAAATACACAGTTGTACATGGCATACCAATTTCTGCAGATAATTTATTTACATTTACTATCCTTGTCAACCTTATGCAACATTAACTGGTTAAAAAAAAAAAAAAACCAAAATTGAATGCTTTTCACAATTTGGGTGTAAAAAAAAGAAGAAAATTCACATGGTATGTATGTGTTAAGAATTTCAGTCATGAGAAAGGGTGATGCAAAATCAAAGCTTGTAAGCCAAAAAAGAAAAACAAACCTCCAACATGCCCATACCTCAAAAAAGCACTCAAGATTTTTTTCCACCAAACCAAACACCAGCTTCTCTTTTTATCCCTTGCCAATCAAGACTCTGGAAAGACAATGACTAGAGATTACTTACAGTGGACATGAAAAGACCCATGATTCTTTCAGCCTCAAACAGTTAAAAGGAGCCGGTGAATGGCACAAGATAGGATGCAAAACATTTAGGTTATGAGCTTGGGAAGTGGCAAATCAGGTGTGTATGAGTAAATGAAAGGCAAGTAGTTACGGAAAAACCCCCCCAAAAAAAAAAGAAAAGAAAAGAAAATTTTAGTTAAGTAAATTAAATGTTGATAAGTTAAAAGCACATGAATATTGTGAACCATATCACCACCACCCAGTACTTCAACTTTGTTCACTTTAGATAAAGACAATATGGTAAAGAATCCCTGTGAGTGAAACACACTAAACACAAAAATCAGCAGAATGTCTCAAACTGAAACAAAACCCAAATCCTCCTTTCTTTTTCCAAGCAAAGCAAAAATGCATAAACCAAGCGCAATTTCCACAGCAGAAGCTGAGAAAATGGCTCCCTATAATCCTGTCCAAATAGGAACCCGAGGCACAGTTGGTTCCCTAGTCATGAAGGAAATCAACTACTTCAATCAACTGGAGCTGAGTAGCCGAGGCGACTTTTCGGAGGAGAAGCCTCGGTCAGATGTCACAGATATGGCGGCCTCTTCAAGCACTAGTCATGCTTCAAATCCGACCAATGGATCAGTTTTGGCAACTCAAAAGAAGAAGAAAAAGAGAGGAGGCAACAAACTCCTACCAAGCATGTGTTCTGTGGTGGAAGTTTCGGACAACAATAGTAGTAGGCCAGTTGGGATTTCGGGTTTCGGTTACAGAAATTTGAAAACAGATGTGAAGAAGTTGCAGGCTTAGACAATGCTCTCTGAGAGCTTTGAGAAGCCTAACTTCCTCAACCTGCTTGTTATGGGGCTTGTCCAAGCTCGATTATTATTATTATCTGAATTTCCGCACTTTATGTCCACAACTTCAACAATGTTGATAGGCCCTTTCTTGTCAGTTTTTTCCCTACTAGGAGTTCTATCTAGAGCTATATTATCAGAGCCAAGCATTGGGATTCTATGTGTATTCTTGGGATACCCTTTTGTTTTCCGAGCGAAATCCGGGTTCGCGTGATTGCTAGTTCTGCTGCTGCTGCTGCTGGCTTCATCAGAAGTTTTCCTTGGCTGTAGTAGTCTTCTTGGAGTGGAAGGAGAAGCACCAACATAAGGAACAGCTTGTGGCTTATTTCTAGATGAAGATGGTGAAGGCTTCTGAGATGAAGCTTTCATGGATTCCAATTCCCTTGTCATGAGGGAACTGATTGTGCCTGTGGTCCCCACTCTGATGGATCCTCCACCACCCTTGATGGCTTCCAGTGACTGAACCATGTTTTCTTTTTCTTTTGGCCTTGAATGAATTCCCAGAAGATTCTTTTGGCAGGGATTATATTTTCCTACTAACCAAACACTTGTTGAGAAGAGAGGTTGTAATCAAACCAAAGTTCAAGAGCCTGATAAGCAACACAACTGGTTAGTGCTTTGAGATCATGGGATGCAGAAAAGGTATATAATATCTAGCAGTAAATCAAGTAAGGTGTTCTTTTTTTTTTTTTTGAGTTCCAAAAGGGATATAGTGCTTTGTCAATCAAATTTGTGCAAATAGAAACGCTATAGATATTGTCATTACAAAGAAATTTCAAAAGGGTTTTTCCCATTAAATTCCAAAAACCATGATCTGTATTAATTAAACCAGATAAAAGCAAGGTTATTGAGTGGTAAAGAGATAAACCCAGAAAACTCTGTATTTTCTAGTGAAACTGGAAACCAAAAAATGTTGAGTCGAATGAAAAATGCACTACAAGTATTGTGAATCCATGTTGTTGCTATTAATCCATTGAACTGCAAAAAGTTAATGAATTTAGCAAAAACAAAACCCCATTTTTCATTGATGAAAAAGGCAACTCCTTTTTCCCTAAGATCTGATATTTTCTGGAGAACTCCGCCAAGTTCCCAGAAAGAGAAACATAGTAGCAAAAAAAAAAAAAAAGTGTTGTTTAATGCATCAAAATCATAGATTAAACGCAACGAACCTTATCCAGTATCAGTTTTGATTAGGAAAAAAAAACCCTTATCAAATGTACAACAGATAATGAGAAAATTAAGATCCAAAAGAAAATAACACATACACTAATCAGATCATATAAAAGTGAGACATTAAAGCCATATTCACAAAGCAAGCAAGAGATATTACACAAAATCCGAACTCAGCAAAGATTCAAAGTGAATAAATAAACAGACCCAGATTGCAGAAACTTCTAAAAGCGAGAAATCTGTGGTTTTCTTTCGTTGAAAAGTTCAAATCTTTAACATTGAAGATAATAATGTCACCTTCAAGAAGGATGTGATTAGTGAAAAAGTACTGATTTTCTCACGCTCTTCTTTCTCTTTGTTTGTTTGCTTATGAACTGTATCAGACCGTCAACGCAGATCCCAAAACAGTGGATGAATCAAACTCAAATCATAATTTATGATTTATGACTGTTTGGGTTTGGTGTTTTGTAGGTGGATAAACAAAAGTATTGCATGTTTTTGCTTGGTTGGTTTATCAATAATCAATACACATTTGAACAAGCAAATCCAAGTTCGCTTTACTTTGCCTTTACCAAAATGTGCCATTTCTCACTCTTTCTTTTTTCTTTTTCCCTAGAATTAGTCAGAAAAAGAGGTAAATAATCATTTTTTTAGAAAATATTTATGGTAAATATTAGATTTTAAAATATATACAATAAATAACATATTTACGATGAATGATTTCTTTACAAGTAAAATTTATAAAATAAATTTATTATAAAAGAGTTTTTCCAATAATCTTTTTTTTATCCGTAGTTTTTAATCTTTAACCGTTGAGTTTGGTAAAAATCACATCAGATTAATAAAATATACGAAACAGACAGATTTTGATACGAAATTAACAAATGAAAAAAAAAAAAAGAAACCGACAATCCTATTTTTATAAAAACTAACACAAAAATTCTCTTATTATAAATATGTAAACGAATCGTAATATTATTTATCATAAATAACTTTAAAAAGTGAACTATCTATTATTATTTCACTTCTTCTTCTTCTTCTTCTTTTTATGTTTTTGAGATTTTTTTTTTTAAATGTAAGGACTAAGCACTTCTTTTACTAAAAGAAAAGCTAATCTTTAAACTTTTTCTGATTGGTAATGATGATGGGACTTTGTTGATAATGATGTGCAAACTAATTAGGCCTACTCTTCAAACTAAACTACAACGTCAAAACTCCTACGTTTGCTTGTGCATCACCACTAATGGTAATGTACATATTGGCAAAAGGGTATTATCCAAATCAATTCAACAATAATCATGTGCATTGTTTCTGGAGCTTATAAGGAAAAAAAAAAGAAAGTTGTAAATTTAAAAAGGAAAATTAGCGTGTGGGCGGGTGATTTCTGACACCCACGCTAATATATAGTCAAAAGTTTCGAAAATTAGGAGAAAGATTCGTTTTTTTTTATTTTTTCCTTGCAGTTCTAATTTCGTCCTTTATGGCAATCAGCGTCATTGCCCCGGCCACTGATGTTCGTTTCTCGAGTGGATCTCATCGCCCAGCTGTTATTGGCACAAAATTCACTGTCTAGCAAGGATTATTGTACCGAGCGTCAAATTAAATAAATTTAAAATTAAAATATAAAAATAAAAAAATTAAGAGAACGTTTAATTCATAAATTTATAATTATGATTTAAAATTATTTTCAGTTTGTGTATATTTTTTATGAGAAAAAATACTGTAACGAACTACGAAATCATGATCTGAACCATGATACGAATTTTTACTCTAAACGCACACTAAAAGATACGGAGATTCAAATGGCTTGACTTTTGACCTACATCTACTAATCTCCGAGCAAAAATGGGAAAGAAATTTTACTATAATCAAAAGAAGATTACAAAAATTTGTTAAATATTTCTTACCACTTAAATATCAAATATATTCAAAATCTCTCAACTTAAAAGTAAGAGATTTTCTATTAAATAAATAATTCTATAACCAGCTACAAAACAAAAGAAAAAAAAACTGTGTATCAATGAGAAATCACTCTTGTGGCTACTATATTTCCTCACGTCCATATAAGCACATATATTAGAGTAACCATTAAAACCATACTTATAAACTATAGACTTATTTTTAATGGTTACGTTTCTTTTGGTGGTTACTATTAAATATACAAAATTGATAATGTAGCGTGACAAGAATCCAATTTCATTAATTGTCACTAATTTTTTTAGTCAACTATCTAATTTATTAAAAGTGTCAGATCAATATCTTGCAGTTAAAATAATAATACCCATTAATAAATAAAGGAATGGTCTCTCATCCGGCATATCAAATCTGCCTGACCGGTCCGCTCAGTAATTATGGGCCGTCGGATTGAAATCAGTGCCTCCTTCCCCTAATCAACACCAAGAACCTCATCAAATTAGAGCCCTCCAAGTCCCTCCCCATCTCCATCATCGCCGACAACAGAGCCTCCCTCATGATACCCACTCGCCCCATCGAGTTCATCCACCAATACCCCTCCATTTTCCGTGAATTCTTCCCCGCCGGCGCTGGGTTTCAGCCCCACATCAAGCTCGGTGACACGTTCTTCAAGAGAGACGAGCTGAAGATGGCGATGGGCCACCGTGGGAAGGTCGAATCGGCGATCGGGGACTTGGATCGGGCGGTGGAGCTTAGTCCGGAGAACACTAGGGCTTTTTGCTTGCTCGGAGAGTGCTACGAGGCGAAGAAGATGGAGGCCGAGGTCAGGAAGGCGTACAAGGACGCGTTGAGGATCGAGCCTGAATTGGCCCTGGCTCGGGAGGCTCTGGATCGGTTGGTGAGCTCTTCTTAGTCAATCACGTACAATTTCTTAACTTTTTTTTTTTTTTGAGGTTTTTGCTTGTTGTAGAGTTTATAGAAGTTGATTATCGACTTCTTTTTGTAGTGAATGTGGTAATGGTGATGATAATAATGTTGTAATATTTTAAGGAATGGAATTTCTTTACTAGTTAATATGCTGAGAATCAAATTCTGATGTTTATATGGTAAAACTAATTTTTTGCAATAGGCATGACAAGAACAATCTAACAGGTAAGCATGGCAACCAAAATGGCAAATGTTGAAAAAGCAGAAGAGCTCCTAGAAAAGCTTCGCAGTGCGTCTTGGGATGCTGCAGTTCAAGGTGGGGTATTCAATATTTATGAACATGACATATAAATAGTGCAAGTTTATTGAATAATTTTGAAAATATAATCTTTATAGTAATTCATCTTCTGTTGAATAATTCTGTAAATTATTCAACAATTATTGCTTTTTGTGTTTTTCTGTGGTATTCAACTAGTTTCATTTCTAATCCTCTTAGAATTCTGTTTGTCTTGAGCAACTCATGTAAATCAAACCAGACTTCACAGCGTTTTCTCTTTTCATAGTTTGAGGCCATTTTTTACAAGCATGCACAGAATAATGTACTGAGCGTGTCTGCAGAATTTCAGATAGTTTTGACGTCGTTTCCTATTTTATTTGATTTTTCAAAGACGAAAAATAGAAAAAATCAGAAAAAACGGAATACTCATCAAAACATGATGCCGCATGTCGCATAATTTCTTAAAAATCATGCATTGATTTTAGGACGCAAAAGATGTGGAAATAGTGAATTCGTTTTGACCTATCCTTGCCACTCGGCGCCCCACTACGCTAGCGGGAGACTTTTTGATGAATATTCTATTTTTTATGATTTTCTTTATTTTTAATCTGTAAAAAATATAATAAAATAAAAACAAAGTTAAAAAATAATAAAATTTTACAGACACGATCCTTACATTTTTCTAGGCGTGCTAAAAAAATGGCCTAAAAAATAAACCACCGTCGGTTTATGGCTCCAAAAACCAAATTATGTAGAAATGATTCCAGCCTTTTTGGTTAAGCTGCCCAATTTATCAACAGCAATTATTAAACGACGTCATTTAAAATAAACCACCGTCAGTTTATGGCTCCAGAAACAAAATTATGTGGAAATGAATCCAGCCTTTTTGGTTAAGCTACCCAATTTACCAACAACAATTACTAAACGATGTCGTTTAAAATAAACCACCGTCGGTTTATGGCTCCAGAAACAAAATTATGTAGAAATGAATCCAGAAAAAAATAGGTTCAGAAAAGAATTAAAAATGAAAGAATAAATAAGTTTTAGAGCACCATCAAAAAGAAATATCTAAGTATAGTAGCATTTGTAAAAAAAAAAAAAAAAAAAATTAGTAAATGAAAGAGAAAAGTTAAAAAAAGAAATATCTAAGTGGCATGATTCTGATTCTGCTATAGTATTTTTTCTCTCATAAAGAATGAATAAAAAAAAACTCAATCAATAGTTCTCTCATAAAAAATTTGAATATGAATTAAAATCACGAACTTAAACGCATTAACCAAACGGATCCTTTACGTGTATACATGTTCAAGTAATATATATCTTACCACTAAAAATGGCCTAAAAAATAAACCACCGTCGGTTTATGGCTCCAGAAACAAAATTATGTAGAAATGATTCCAGCCTTTTTGGTTAAGCTGCCCAATTTACCAACAGTAATTATTAAACGACGTTGTTTAAAATAAACCACCATTGGTTTATGGCTCGAGAAACAAAATTATGTAGAAATGAATCCAGCCTTTTTGGTTAAGCTGCCCAATTTACCAACAACAATTACTAAACGACGTCGTTTAAAATAAACCACCGTCAGTTTATGGATCCAGAAACAAAATTATGTAGAAATGAATCCAGCCTTTTTGGTTAAGCTGCCCAATTTACCAACAACAATTACTAAACGACATCGTTTAAAATAAACCACCGTCAGTTTATGGATCCAGAAACAAAATTATGTATAAATGATCCATTTAGTCAGCCTTTAGGTTGGGCTGCCCAATTTATGGGAAAGTATGATTAGCTACACCGGATTTGGTCAGTGGTGCGTCATCCACATCTTCGACACGTAGTGAATTGGAAAACTATCTGAAAACAAATTTTGCGGCATTCATTTTCAATGAGCAAGGTGGTGGTCATGATTTCAATAAGTTTGATATTTTTTTCATTTTGGAGATCACAGTCAAGAACTTTTCCTGTGCTCTCTAGAATGGCACGTGATATACTAACCATACCAGTGTCCACAGTTGCAAGTGAACAAGTATTTAGTTGCAGTAGTAGAGTACTTGATGAACGACATGCACGCTTGAGTGACGATATTCTGGAGGCAGTAATGTGTGTCGAGGATTGGGAGGACGCTCACAGAAGAAGCCAACAAGTTCAAGATGATTGGGTTGATGATTTTGAAAATTTAGACATTTCTGATACTCCAACTGGGAGTAATACATTGTAATTACGAACAATATCTATTTTTTTTTATGTTTTTTATGTTTTTTTCTTTGTTTTGGTAATTTTGTAAACATCTTATGTATAATTATTCTAATTGTACTCTTTTTTCCTTACTAAGATTTTATCCCACTGGGTTTTCCTTAGAAAGGTTTTTAATGAGACAATCGTAAATAAAATATATCTTTTCATATTCTCATTGAC